GTTATCCAGTTAGGTGCGTTCCAACTCCTCCAACCATAGATTTTCACATAAATATTTAGTTCTGATTCTCCACCAACTTCCATCCGACAACCGTTGATAGATAATCGTTTGTCGATTGGGTCGTTCTCGCCATCATCCTTTAAAATCTGCTTTGGAAACCATAATTTGAACCCTAGTAATTTGATCGTTGGAGGTCTTTCGTCGAGCATGTAGAACTTTAATTTGTTGAGGGCATAAATGCGGCCATTGCCAGCGAGAATGATATCTATTATGTCTTTGCTTGCTTCCATAAAAAGTCTCCACTTTCGGTCATTTCCATGCCTGCAAACCATAAACCTTTTGTCTATGATATATGGGTTTTCATAGAATATTTCAACAATGCAAGCCGCTACAATGCCTGCGCTTGCAATTGAAGAGACAACCACCTTACGAATTATTAATTGGGATATGTTGTGATTAGTAGGTTTGAGCATGTAATAAGATATAGGTGGAAATAAGAGTTCATGATTCAATACAGGGTTGAAGAGAAAAATATTTTTGTGGCTGCTTGATATAAAAACTAGCCATCCATTGGAAGAGCAAAAAAGAGACATTTGAGATAATGTGAAAAATGGTAGGGAGATGGAGCGACTAAAACACATACTGTTCTCATTGTCATGGAAGTTTTTAAAGTTTGAGAAGCATATGACATTATTCTGTATCCCGAGGGTTATCTTGTAGCGTGGAAGATGGTTGGGGACAGGAATGATAGAACGCCAATGGGAGCAAACTGTGCGAAAGGATTTGAGATCAGAGCGATGATGAAGCTCTAGCCTATCTCTGATTATTAGCAATATGTCGATGGGGAGATCGGACCATGATGAAGAAAGTGATGATAAAGTTGACATTGAAGAAGAAGAAGAAGAAGAAGAAGAAGAAGAAGAAGAAGAAGAAGAAGAAGAAGAAGAAGAAGAAGAAGAAGAAGAAGAAGAAGAAGAAGAAGAAGAAGAAGAAGAAGAAGAAGAAGCTAAGGAGGAGGAGGAATCATTCAATGTTGAGGTGGGGTATTTAAATTTGTTGCTTGGAAGTTGGAAGGATTAGTGGAGAAAAAATTGTAGTGGACCAATTTATAAGAAGATAGGACATATTTCTATTATAAGCTTCTTAAAACGACTGTTTATGGTAAGGATGAAATCAAAAAAAAATTTCTTTCTTAATTAATTAGGCTGAAATTCAATGAATTTGAATCATAACATGTTCCTTTTATGGTAATGTGTTTCTTTTTTCTTGATTTATATTTTATATAATTGAAAGGAATTATTATTTGTTTCCAAATATAATACATATGTTAAGATTTTTTTTTTGATAAATAATCTATCAAAATATTTGATAAATAATCTGCCAAGATCTTATGATATGTTTATGTTAAGATGAGAATATTTTAGAAAAATTAACATATATATACTTTAAGATTTTAAATCATATGATAACCCCCTCTTATGAGTTTATTTAATCATAAATCTTATGTTTTTTTTTTCCCTCGCATGCATACTTTTAAATATCTAATAATTTAATTGTATTTGTTCTTGAGCTGAACATATTAGGAAAATTATTTCTTTCAAAGATCTCATCCATTCATAGGGCTGTCAAAAAAGTTCATTGTTCGCGAACAGTTCGTGTTCGGTTCGTCAATGAGTTCGTGTTCGATTCGTTCGATAAGTAAACGAGACAAATGTGAACAACTTTTTTTTTTTCGTCCGGCTAGTTAAACGAACCAAACACAAATATTGATACGTTCGTTCGTGTTTGAATCATTATTGTTCGAAATATAAAATAATTTAAAATAATTATATATAAAAAATTATGATATTTTAAAAAATTAAATTTTATAAATTATAATATATAATAAATTAATAATAATAATATATTAATATACT